ACTCTTGGCGTGGATCTACCATCAGGGCCACGCGGGGCCTATCTTTAACTATATGCCAAATGGCTGGGGAGTACACTTCTGGATGGTTACACCTACAATGCTGTTTGCACGGTTTACGCGTCGGAGGGGACGCCGTTTTACAAAGGCGGTGACCAGCAGACGAGTACGACCTAGACAATGGCAGTTTGTTGGTGCAGTTTACAATCAGCGAACAGGACGCGCCAAGTTGTTTGTCAATAATAGGTTCACTGCCAATAGGTATATTGGTCGAATAAGATTGGCTACTAATTACCCCGTCAGGATGGGAGCTCGGATTGGAGACAGAAGGTATTTTCGGGGACGAATCTCCTGTATGCAAGTATTTTCTCGAGCTCTTACCACCAAGCAGATCTTGCGCCGAAAGTGGAAGTGCGCTAGAAGAGGTAATTGCTTAAATATTTCATTTATTTAATCATCAGAATAGTCGCAGGAAGTAATAAATTACAATAGAGATTTGGTTACAGTGTTGACAAATCTTTAATTTATACCGTAGGCTGTGTTCGACCACCTATACCGCCAAGAAGGGGTAAGTCACTCCCTGTTTGTAGACTTTGTTTAGTTGTACCTGAGAAAGACTAGAATAGGATGTTAACCTATTCACTAGAAAATGTTACTGAAGTACTGAAAGTACTGAAACGGGAGTGTTTGAACATCTTAAATATTTTTGTGTACTTGTGGGAGAGATAATGAATATCATTAACATATCAGATTACCATATCGTTTCTATGGCAATATTCAAATGATGTTTACCTTAATCCACTATGTTTGATTCGTTCTGTTTCTCAACAATTATTTCGGGGCATACACCCTTCAATTGTTACATGCAGTCAATGTCTGTAGTGCCACAGTATGCATGGCCTCAAACTCTATTGACCAGTATCTCTGTTTTTGCAGGAAGAACTTTGAGAATCACTGTTAACTTAATAGGTAAGGAAATTGCCCTATATAATGTACTCTGTCTAGTGTTTGAGACGGAGTGGTATAGTCGATAGATTTATCAAGGAGCAGAAGAGTGAAAAAGGTGCATACAGACAATGCATGTTTGAAAAATGTTGTCAGTAATTGACCTGTTCCACGAAACATCCTTCCAGAAATCGTTTGATTTTTATTGGTAATTTTTTACCTTGGTGTTCACTTAACGTGTTCTCCGCTAAAGTCAAAACCAGTTCCTTTTGCTTTGGTTATAAGGCTAACGCCCTTTAGTGCCGTTATAGTTTCATTGATTGATTCATTATTTTTCCACACGTCTGACTCAAAGGTTTTTTTTTGTCAACTCCAGTGCATTTTCGCATTGTAAGTATTGTGGCTAGCTGACTGATGCAAACTAATGATAGCTTCGACATTTGCAGAAACCAAAGCAAGCAGTTGATTCGTTGCTCTCATTTAGTATGTCAAGTTGATTTAAACGATAATCAGACGCCTGCCCGCTATGTCTTTGATTCGGGGTGGTGTGATGATGGGGAACTATATTATCCTGGCAGTTCTTGCTCTCTTCTGTGTTATTACTTTAATTCCTTCGAAAAGAAAATTTAGTCAAGATTGAATCTGTTTCAGAGCCATCCCATATATTCGTACTTGTTTACAGCTGGGTGTGCGGACCAATACTTTTAGTTATTTCGTTTTATATAAACACTGGTTTTATGTGGTCGATCTGGAGACTGTCTCCAATTTTAGTTGTGAACACTAAAAGTGAAAGTATCACGCTCTCTAGATACCGTTAGTTTGATTTAGTTTCGGCTTTGGTTTTCCACTACCATCCCTTGAATTCTCCATCGGTTTTCATCCACTTTAGCAAAGAGCGTCGGTTGCTTTAGAGACACAGGCCGACGAGCAATACAAACACTGGAAGGAAAAAGTCGCTTGTTAAGAGGAGGCTATCGAAGAAGACGTCATGCAATTGAGAAATGTGCTCTAGCCGCAATCCGACGAGGTTGGAGAGTGTTTGCGGTGCAACATCAAGGATGGTGTGCGTCCTCAAGAACAGCTCATTTGACGTACAGAAAATATGGTACATCTAACCGATGTAGAAACGGAAAAGGGGGGCCTTGGGCCAATGATGTCTATGTTTTGAGAGGTAAATACTATGATTTATATTAAATCACTGCAAAGGCAACAGGTATTAGTAGTCACATACCTTTATTTACTTTCTTTCTATTGCATATAAATGCCGTGTTTCATTCATTACCAAAAAGTTCTTCGAACAGTCAGGTAGTGCATTTAGTTGAAGGAGAAAGTATTAATTCAAACCCCGGTTTGAATTAATACCCCCCCCCCCCACCAAAAAAAAAATTATGATTAATACCCCCCCTTAAAAAAATAGTGATATAGAAGAAAGTCGTCATTAAGGAGCACTTAACTCTCTCTTTTTTTGTTTCTCCAGGATCATGCAACAGACGCACGACTACCAACTTCTGTTGCGTGTTTCCGTTTATTTATAAGGGCAGAAGATATAGAAGCTGTACCACAGCAAATTCTCCCAAGCGTCTGTGGTGTGCTACGTCTCCGAACTATGACTTAGATAAGCAATGGGGCTACTGTCCAGGTGGAGGAGGAAGAGGTAATAATACTTTCTTCCTGTAAAAGTCACAAATCTAAGAAGTGGAGGCACGAGCACGCGAAAGTATACAAGTGTCAGGGAGGTGCCAAGTTACAATGTCAAATTTTAACTGAATATATTTTTTGTCAGGTGTAAATAAATACATGGAGAAATTTCCTGAAAATGTCGTGTAAAACTTCTGTCTAAACCCTGATGTTTGTACCATTCACCAAATCTCCTCGGGTCTTTTCTTCTCGTCTTCACTTTATAGGATCATCAGATAGAGAAGATTATTGTCGCCGCTCAAGACTTGCACATGTTTTCAATTTTTTAAAAGCACGATAGCCAACGTGACGTCAAACATTTTTAACAGGCCTGACGTTTTGAACAGCTACTGGATGTTTATGTTTAACTTGATTATTTCTGTTTGCAGCACCCAAGATAAGACTAACGCCATCGCTTAAACGTGAGTATACTTGACCGGTTTACCAATTATATAGTATAATGTATGATCTTAGGACCACGTTCTTTAGGCCGAAGCAGTTACTGTTTTTGCATGGGCAAAGAAAAAAACAGCCGAAATTAATAGTTTTATTTAAAAAAGTTATCTCAACGATAATAGCAACCTAACCGTTTTTCAGCTATCCTTTATCTACCATCTGTAGTTTCTTTTCTTTTATTTTTCTACTTTATATTCATCTTTAGACATTTTTTCAGGTACATACGTACGTACGTACCAGCGTACAAGTAGGTCTTTTGATTGACTTTAAGCTCGTAAAGCCAAATCAAAAGACATTCTTCCCATGTATGTAGGAATATGCATTTGAAGCTCACAAGAGACTACAAACACTGGACTGAGCTTCAGATAATCTTGGACATTTTCCTTTATCTTTGCAGTCCAAAGGATTGGCTGCTTTAAAGACACCTATCGCAGAGCCATTTCTCAACTGGACGGCAGAAGTGTGCTTCTCAAGGGTAACTATCAGCGACGTAAGAGAGCTATTGAAAAATGCGCCTACACAGCGATCAAGTACGGCTATACAATTATTGGAGTCCAGAACGGTGGCTGGTGTGCATCAGGACCACGAGCCTTGAAAACTTTTGCAAAGTATGGACGATCCAACCGATGCAGGAACGGAAAGGGAGGAGCATGGGCTAATGACGTCTACAGGATAATAGGTACAAAGAGAATTACTCTAATAATAGAAAAGTAACACCTGTTTTAAATTTTGAAGGCAACGTTTGGGCGAAGAACATCGATTGTCAGTATACAACTTGCCTGTGGTTTGCAGCATCTTTCAAAAACAGACATATAAGGAAAGTAGAGCTTATTAAAGTTTTATCTGGTCTTGCTTTTATGTTTTAAAAAGCATTCACTGGAGGGTAGATTGTTATTATTTTAGATGATTCATTTATTTAGCACTAATTCTGGGAGTTAGGTGAGAGGAAGGAGGTTTTTCTAGGGAGGCTGTTAGCAAAGTTAGCGTTTGAATCAGTAAATTAGCTGGTCTTTTCCACAGGCAGTGTCTGTTCCTCATGTCGAGCATTTCCTTCCCAAATTCTAGCAGATGTTTTCTCCCCAGATTTTACCCAACCCAGATTTGTCAAGTTCAAATACTTAACTACAGCAGCTTCATTCTAAAATCATAGGTTAAGTACTAGTCTCAATATTTTGTAATTCACTCAGTCACAATAACCTTTGAGCCGTTTTTACCACATTTATTTATTGATTCATTTATTTGTCAGGCAAATGCCGGAAAAGGTCAACAAGTGGTTATTGCTGCGTCTTTCCATTTGTATATCGAAAGCGTCGTTACACCCGTTGTGCAAGGACTCGCAGGGGGAGACCTTGGTGTGCTATTACTCCAGACTACAGGCCTGGCAAGCAATGGGGATACTGCAGAGGAGGACGAGGTAAGTGAAAGTAATGAACCGAGAATAATGTATCTGAAATTGAAGCAAACACATAAAGTAATGGAGCATAGAGATTGGTCAGCATTACTTGGTCAATAAAGAGGACTATAGAGTAATGCTAGTCCCATTCAATTGATCAAATAACGCACTTTTTCTTTCATTCTTTTTTTTTCTTAAGCTCCTCCGTTAAGAATAAGTGGAGTATCAAGTAAGTAATTTAACTTTTAATTTTTTGTATCAGTTATTTCCTATCTTTATCATATTTTACCGATAATAAACATAACAGTAACAACAACAATGATAATGATAATACCTACGTTAGGCCATTTAACTACCAATATTTTAGGAAGAGTAAGGAGGGGTGGTTGACTTAATGTGATTCACATCCGCTGGGAGTTTAGGTAGTAAGCACAGTAAGAGTTATGTCGTCTTTTACATTTTTATCTAGAATTTTCTTTCAAATATTAAATTGAAATTTCGTACATCATTTTGAATTCAGTTCGATCTCTGGGCTGTTATCGGGATACCGGTCGCCGAGCCATTCCACAGATGGATGGACGTAGCATATTAGTCAAAGACTATTACCGAAGAAGAGCAGACGCCATCTTAAAATGCGCCTTGGTTGCTATGAAACACCGCTGGCAAATTTTCGCTGTGCAACATCAAGGATGGTGTGCCACAGCCTCTAGAGCTCACATGACTTACCGGAAGTACGGAAGATCCAATCGATGTAGGAATGGAAAAGGAGGTCCATGGGCTAATGATGTGTATAGAATATCTGGTACGTTCTAATATAAACTAAAGCAACATTAATGGATTAATTTGTATGCCTTGTTTGAACTTGTCTCTCAAATATGTCTTGGCTTGGTTTTCCCACTATTAACAGCATCCCGTGATTTTATCTTTCAGGCTTCTGCCGAAAGAGGACCACGAAACGGTACTGCTGTTCTTTCCCATTCATTTACAAAGGTCGTCGTTATGACAGTTGCACCAGAAGAAAACACAGTCGACCATGGTGCGCACTGACACCCAACTACGATAGAGACAAGAAATGGGGCAACTGTGCTGGAGGTAAAGGTGACATGCATTATAAACCGGCAATACTCAACAGAACACTTGAAAGTACACGAAAGCGGTTTCTTCATTACCCACGAATAATAATATAGTAATGACGTCGGTTAACAGGATGCCAATCCCTATACAAACCAATAGCTGTTGCGATATGTCCTAGTACAGTCCATGCTTTGAAATAGATCCGTTCTACTGTTTCTTAAGACCCAACCATGTATAGACCAGTTGTACACTAGCAGCCCCGCATTCCTAGTTAAACGAGGCGATTAAAAGGTCTTAATTTACTTGAATCTGTTTTTCTAGTTAAAGTCACTGATAACTATTGTTGCTATCACATTTTTTCTTTCTTATAGCACGCCCTGTCAGACCCCTACCGGTTGTCCCCCCAAGAGGAGGTTGGTTTTAAATCTATCAGGCTGTGAAGTCTTTTCCAAAATGGCACTGTCACTCTATTGTATTTGTTTGAAGAGAACCGACACAGCACATCCCAAAATACATTCAAACTCTTACAAATCGCACCTAACCCTAGAAATTATTACATTTTTCTCGCTTCTTTTCCTGAAATTCAACCTCGAGAAATATAACCCTCTATTGGATACAATTTTTATTATTCATTTTAAAGCGTTCAACGATTTTTAGCCCTGGGTTTTTTAATATCACATTTTTGAGACCAACTCTAAGGGTGTACCTTAAACTGACCAGTACGTGTATGTCCTTTTAAGGAAAGGTGGTTCGTGTCACGACAGGCTTGTTGGGTAAGTCACCTGAAAAAATTATTTTGTGCTTCCTGTTACTTATTTACCTTTTTGCTGTTTATGTTATCTTTTTTTAAAAGACGTCAGCCTGTATTTCGGTACCTTATCCTGCTATTTATTTCACGATTTATTTGCTTGTTTGTTTGTTTTTTAGCCAAAGGCATCGGTTGCTTCAGAGATACTGGCCGTCGAGCAGTTGCTACGATGGAAGGAAAAAGCCATCTTCTGACAGGACATTATAGAAGACGCCGAGACGCCATAAGGAAATGTGCTCTGGCGGCAGAAAGGCGGGGCTACCGAGTATTTGCCGTTCAACATGGTGGGTGGTGTGCGGCATCACGCACAGCCTACAGGACATATAGTAAATATGGAAGATCCAACAGGTGCAGAAATGGCAAAGGAGGACCTTGGGCAAACGATGTTTATTTTCTGAAAGGTCTGTCATATAGAATCTAATAATTATTGTATATTTTTGGAAAAATTAACTTGGAAAATAAATCTCCTTTCACCTGCGATGTCCAAGTTATTTCCTGTTTTCTCTTCACTGTTTAATCAACTCACTCTCGGATTTTAATCAAACCTCTTCAAAACGTCTATCTCTAGTCCATATTTTTTACCGACATCTGTAGTAATTTTCCAGATGTTCTATAGTTATATGCTTATAATTTCGAGAATTGTTTGAGAGAAAAACTTGCGTGATATAACTGGTAAGGTTATGCTTCACTTATAACGAAACTTTCCTTTATTTGGAAGCTCTAACGTCTACTAAGTGTATTTGTTGAGGTCTTATAATTTCTCTATATTTCAGTTTCCTGTTCCGCCCGAACGACTCGCAACGACTGCTGTTCGTTCCCGTTCATTTACAAAGGTCGCCGCTATAACAGTTGCACGCGAATAAAGAGCAAACGACTTTGGTGCTCTTTGACATCTAGCTATGACAGAGACAAGAAATGGGGTTACTGTGGTGGTAAGCGTGAATTAAGATTATCGAAGCTTAAGTTTTTATCACACAGTGTATGTACTTCTGATCTGTGTCCCAACGTAAACTGTTCCTTTGATAATTTACGTTCATTGATTCTTGGCGCTTAATAGTACATATCAATGTGAGCAGAGCAGAAAAACTACCTTTTTCAACTCTTAAAATGATAATAATAATAATAATAATAATAATAATAATGCTGATAACATCACTGACCTTGTGTCAAGTAGAATGCCCATGTGCAAGACCAACTTAAATGCCGGCAATCAATACCTGGGATTTGTCTCTATCAAGAGAGGCATCTTTCAACGGGACCCCGCGCCACTGACTTCTTTTTGTTTACTACCTTGATACCGATGTCGATGGTGTTGCAAGAGACAGGCATTGCGTATTGTTTGGAAAAGACGAAACTGATTGTTGACCTTTCTGTGTATTTGTTTTACAGCGTCTGTAATTAAGATTCCAGGATTGTTCACCAGTAAGTATCTTCTCTTGAACAAAGAGGGAATGATCCATATAGTAAAGATTATCTTTACTATGGATTATCAAGTTGTACCTACCATTTGAGTTGTTCGGATGTTTTTAATTTCTCTTGTTTCAAAAAAAGACCCAGTTGACACTAGTTTTTCTTTTAGTCCAGAAAATCGGCTGCTTTAGAGATACATCTCGTAGAGCCATACCACAGCGAGACGGACGAAGCCGGCTTCTTCGTGGAAATTACCAAAGACGTAAATTTTCCATCCAGAAGTGTGCCCTGGATGCCGCTAAGTACGCTTTTAAAGTGTTTGGAGTCCAAAATGGCGGCTGGTGTGCATCAGGAGCACACGCATATAGAACTTATGCCAAATATGGAGCATCCAACAGGTGTAGGAATGGTAAAGGTGGACCATGGGCAAATGACGTCTACAGGATCATAGGTCAGCTATCAGTAAAACAGATGATTTGTTCTGTATTTCCATCACAACTTAATTACGCATTTTATGTATATTCAATCAGCTCGAAAGTGATCTGAAAGGTAAAATAAAACACCTTTAGCCGGAGAGGTCCGATCGATCGCCACTTTACATTCTTGGGATAAAGGAGCATTGCTGGGCAAACACGTGGGCAAAATTAGTTTTGAACAGTTCTCTTAATGACAAAACTATAGCTTGCATCACCACAAGGTTACTGAGGAGAACTCTAAACCTCACTTCATTACGCATGACCCTGTTTATCCAAGAACTGAAACAGCAATTCAATTTATACGAGTAGTTACAACTACTGCCTATTTTTTTAGGTCAATGCAGAAGGCGAACGACGCAAGGATACTGCTGTGTGCCATTTAGGTATCGCGGGCGTCGGTACAAAGGCTGCGCAAGAAATAGACGTGGGAAATACTGGTGCGCCATCAGTCCCGACTACAGAACAAGGAAACTCTGGGGGTGGTGTAGGGGAGGAAAACGTAAGTGTTTTCAACGCTGATAATGAAACGTTTTTCCGTTTTTTGATACTTTCGACCAACTCTGATAGTTTTACGTTTTTATTGTATGCAGCGAAATATTTAGTCATTGTTGTCTTTAGTGTTGTTTCGTTTGTGTTTTGTCGATGAAACTAATTACTTATTCTTTACAGCGCCACCAATCAAAGTTACGCAGGGATTCGTGAGTAAGTTAATAGTGCTTTATCAATCCATAGCCTAAAATGTAAGACGTTGGGTATATATATTACATGGCCGCGCGGGATACGAATTTTATCTTCGAGCTACTTACTTTCAGCACGAGAAGATAAAATTCGTATCCCCAAGCGGCAATGTAATGTTCTGTTTATTTGATAGATACTGATGAAATCCCTACTTAAAACACAACTTTTTTTAAAAATTCATTTTCGAAACAGTAAAATAGTGCAATTAAAGTGGTCACCTATCGCAAAATGCCTATCCCAAAAATGTTATGAAACTCGGATAAAAAGTTAGAAAGGAGAAATAAAGACAATAATACTTATACTTTCTGTTCCAAAAAGTTAGTAACCACGGCGACACCAATATCCTCACACGTGAAAGATAAAAATAGTATCTTCACTGCGCGCGATGAAGATATGATTTTTTAGTGAAAGGGAAAAATCTTGGTATTTCATCAGTATCTATATAATAAATAGTTATGATACACTTTTATCTTGGCTACTTGTTGTTCAGCCGCTTCTAGGGAATTCAGTCTTCACTCCACCGGAACCTAGAGAGCAGTGGAAATCGAGCCTGATCTTGTGCGGCCAAGAAGCAGTAATTTGTCACAGTGTACTTGTGTTTCAAAAAAATTAATCAGTTTTCTGACTTCTACGCAATTATGTTTATCTCTTTAATTCACCAATTTCACATAGATCATAATGCACCTGTTTTACTCCCCAAAATTTAGTATTGTCTTGGAGTTCTCTTGGGACGACCGTAATAATCAAACTGAAAACAATGGCTATGTAGAATTTTAGGGGGTAAACAAGGTGCATTATGGTCTATGTGAAAGTAGCGAATTGGCAAATTTTCTTTTAAAAAAATGGCCCTAACGGAAAACAAGCCACCACAAACAAAAGGATTCTATTTTTACTTCAGTCAAGCATGTTGGCTGTTTCCGAGACACCAGTCGTCGAGCAATTCCACAAATGGATGGCCGCGACATCTTGGTTCGAGACTTCTATAGAAGGAGAAGTGACGCAATTAAAAAGTGTTCTTCAACAGCCATGCGGAGAGGCTACAAAGCCTTTGCTGTACAGCATCAGGGTTGGTGTGCTACTGGTCCCAGAGCACACATGACCTACCGGAAGTACGGACGGTCCAATCGATGCAGGAATGGCAAAGGAGCGCCGTGGGCTAATGACGTGTATTTCGTATTTGGTGAGCCCTGTACTAAGCTTAACCTCCTTGGTATTTGTAACTCTGCTTGATCTTTTTTTTGATAGTTGCTAATGTTTACTACTAATATGGAAAACAAATTTTCGGTTCACTGTGTAAGCAGACGCCTTTTTTTGGTTTTAAACTTTTCGGGTGGCGAAAAGTGTAACCTGAAATGTCGCTGTCTTTGCAGGCTACGGTAGTGTATACTGCAGCAGTAATGATTCTTCAGCAAATGCATGTCGCTATTAATTTAGAAATGCTATACAAAGTGTGTATTATCACAGCATTTAGGTCTTGGTATATCGCGCCAGCTTTAAGCAGTTTTCTAGCAGTTTTAAGGGTGCGTACGAGCTTACAAGCCCTTCTTATGGAATTGATGAAGTGCATTCGTGTTCGGAAATAGTGTTCATATTCCCTGTTGTTGTATATCGCTTCTCTTTCGCCGGAAATTGTTCGTCCAGAATTATAAATTTGCGCCATGAAAATCCCCACTTTCCATAATGATCACTGTAGACGGAATAATTTACTTTTTGAAACTCTGTTGTTCTTATAGGTTCCTGTAGGATACGAACAACATCTCGCTATTGCTGTATGTTCCCATTTATCTACAAAGGACGTCGATATCACAAATGTACAATGAAAAATCACAAGAGACCATGGTGTGCCTTAACAAACAACTACGATCGAGATAGGAAATGGGGCAACTGCGCAAGTAAGGAAAACAAATGGCACACTGACAACTTTTATTGTTACTTGATCAAGATGAATACTTTTACACAAATTGTTCTAAATTCTAAAGGGTTTTTAATTTTGCAAACATTGCGTAGAGTTTTCAAGCTACGCTGAAAAAGGTTCTAATATGGCCAGTGGTGATCTACTGAAATAAAGTTTCAAATCTGTTCCCTTGATGTTAATAAATGCGTATGTGGTCCTTTAATTCCTTATTGATAATAAACTAAATATTATTATTAATTTTTTTTCTTTTTTGTAGGAGGCCGACCGGTTCGACCTGTTAGGCCCGTTATTCCTAAGGGTAAGTATGTGAATAAATCGTCCTGCACATGTCAGTGGTAAAGCTATTGTTTTCGGGGTTTCTGACAGCTCATTAATCAACGAATTAGGTAAATAACAATCGCTTCCTTGTGAATGAACGCAGCAAATATATGAGAACGGTGAGATAAATATTTTAGGCCTCATCTGAAAACTCCACAAATTGAATGCGCAAATTCAACTTTAATTTCTGCTCACGGACCTCGTTAATCAAAACATTAATGACGTCCATTACCTTTTGTTTTTGACGTTCCACTTTCTCTTTTTGCACATACAGGAAGGGTGTTCCGCATAACTTATAGCATTTCGGGTAAGAAATAACTTATTATTATTATTATTATTATTTGGAAATACTGGAAGGAATCTAGAAATTGTGTATGTCTTTCAACTAGATTTAAAATAATCATTCAGTTCTTGGTAAACATTGAATCAGTTCCTAATGATGTTCTTACTTCTCAGCAAAAAGCTAGGAAAAAAACTAATGTAAGCGGGAGTTCCTGCGCTTTGTTTTGTAAAGGTATTGTATAAGCTGTTCATAGATTGAGCCCACTGATAGACAACATCAAAGTACGAGATATTAAGCAATATGTGTGGATTATTTGTTTTGAGATGTGCAGAAAGTCAATAGTTAAGTGCATGAATTTGCTATATCGTTAAGCAACTGAAGGCTTTGCATTAGATCAAACCTGCGATAGTCTTAGATGCGTTCTTGACTAACACTTATTGGCTTTATTCGAACACATTTTCAGCTAAAGGTGTGGGTTGCTTCAGAGACACTGGCCGTCGAGCAATTGCCACTTTGGAAGGAAAAAGCCGCTTCCTCAAAGGAAACTACAGGAGAAGATCAGATGCTATTAATAAATGCGCAATGGCTGCATGGAGACGAGGCTACCGAGTATTTGCCATTCAACATGGTGGTTGGTGTGCGGCATCACGCACAGCCTACAGGACATATGGTAAATATGGAAGATCCAACAAATGCAGAAATGGCAAAGGAGGACCTTGGGCAAACGATGTGTACTTCCTAAAAGGTGAATTACATTTCTTTAGGACTTGTTAAGATACAAAAGAACAAATTGTCTCTTATGCATTACATCAATTACGATGAAGGAGCTGCTTAAATGCGCTGTACATATAATGAACGAAAATGACATAGTTTGGTCTGATGCCTCAGCATAGGTGATGGCTTGGTGTAACATAAAAATTACAATCGGTACTTTATATGCTAGGCTCCTGTCGTAAAAGATCCACTAGTGGCAACTGTTGCGTCTTCCCCTTTGTTTATAAACGGAGACGATATTACCGCTGTGTTAAGGGAAATGGTGGACGACGGTGGTGCGCAAATACTCCAAACTATGATAGAGACAGGATTTGGGGTTACTGTGCTGGAGGAAGAGGTACTATTTCAATTCATTATTACTTATTTACATGCTCTAAGTTTTATTTGTGTTTTACTTGCGTGCGATCAGAGTGGAGCCTATCATCATGATTTTTCAACTTGTATCTTTTTTGCACTTCCCTTTTTCATCTCTTTTGGAAACCATTTTTACAAAGGTTTGCGGTGAAACTCGTTTACCGTGGCCATAACGGATGGTAGAACGCACCACAACCTCAAGCCTTTTAAGTATAGGTATATGGACCATTTTTTGCATTTTATGTGTCTTTCTCAAATGAGGTAAATTCTCTTTGTTATTTATCCAAAAACAAAGTTAGTAGTCATCTAGGTTACTGGCTTTTATATACTTTCACAGGTCTTCAGTGATACAGTAGCCAGTAATATTAACCTTACATGTAAAGCAATTCTAAGGTTATCTGTTTTAGGTAAATTCCTTTGTAAAATGCTGAAAACACACTGCAAAATTGAACTGCCGTCATTGTCCTTTACGTCTGGTTAATGGTGTACTTTCTTTATTTTCAGCTCGGCCCATTATAGTAACTCTTTCATTAAGGGGTAAGATTTTTTAATTCTCTTTGCTTTTAAGTGTAAAAGACTGACGTATATGACATTCTGTCCTACCTCTGTTTATACGTGGTTATCATGTTTAAAGCGGCAACAGGCAAACGTTACTTTCCTGAGTCTTTTATACTGTATTTCTTAGTTCAAAGACTTGGCTGTTTCAAAGATACTGGGCGAAGAGCTGTTCCTCAACTGGATGGGAAAAGTCGCCTCCTAACCGGAAACTACCAGCGACGTAAATATGCCATTAGAAAATGCGCTTTGGCTGCTGCTAGGCGAGGTTACAAAGTGTTCGGTGTCCAACATGGCGGTTGGTGTGCATCAGGACCACGGGCTCAAAAAAGTTACGCAAAGTACGGACGATCGAACAGATGTAGGAATGGCAAAGGGGGGCCGTGGGCCAATGACGTCTATGTAGTTTCTGGTAAGCTCTTGAGATACTCCAAACAATACCAAAAACTACCACTTCTACGAATACTCAATTGAGAGATTTAAAAAAAAAAACCTCGGCAAATAGACGTATAATGTCTCTAATGGGCATTTTTGAGGTCGAGGGGGGGGGGGGGGGGGTGGGGCCTTTTTTAAAACCGGAGAAAAAAAACTTTGTAAAGAGAAGGGCAAACTTTAAAAATAACAAAAAAATAAAAAAAAAAAACAAAAAAAATAGAAAAAAAAAAAAAAAAAAAAAAAAAAAAAAAAATTAAAAAGAAACTTAATTTATTATGTGTTGGGATAGCGTTGAAAAACTCAACAAAAAAACAAAAAATACCCATTTCAACAAAAACAAATGTAAGAAATTAAAAAAAAAAAACCCCGGAAAAAAGAGTGAGAAGTTTCTTAGGGGTTTTTTTTGGGGGGGGGGGGGGGGGGGGGGTTGGGTCCTTATTTAAAACCGGAGAAGAAACCTTTGGTAATCGGAGAGGCAACCTTTGCAAATTCACCAAACTTCATGAAACAATTTGTAAATATATGAATAACTAAATAAAACAAAGTAAAGTGAAGGACTTTAAAATCATTTTAATCAGTCATTTTGTAAGAAACCAAATGCCTTTCAGCAAACTTTTGATTTTGTGCAGTAATGTAATGTATCTCACAGATAAGTTCATGTTTTTCAAATTTAAGGCTATAGTGGTGATCATTGTATTTGTTCAGGTTAGGTACTTGCCTTATCTGAATCAAAATATGTTTTCTTCTTTTCTCTAGGTATGCTTTGTTAAGTATACATGGCTGATAAGTATGTTATTGTTTCTGAATCAATTGTCAGGTAAATGCAGATATCGCACAACTCAAGGATACTGCTGTGTGCCGTTTAGGTATCGCGGTCGTCGATACAGGGGCTGTGCAAGAACTCGACGTGGAAGAACCTGGTGCGCAACCACCCCTGATTACCCAAGAAATAGACTCTGGGGGTGGTGCAGGGGGGGATCAAGAGGTAAGCATTGATTGTCCCTCAATTGTCTTGTTAAGTGGTTAAGGTATATACCGTGAATTATATAATAGTAACTTTATCTCATTTTACTTATCAAAAAATCATTGCTTCGTAAAAATCAGAACTTTACATCCTTCTATTAGATGGACTAGTCGATTCTTGTAAGTTAAATGTTATTGTACTTTCTTGGCCTTGTAGAATTATTGCACTCTCTCAAATTCATGTAGGATTTTTAAAATGGAATCAAGGTAACCGGGAAGAAGTTAAAGAGAAAGTACTATCAAATTCTAACGGCTTTGTCTTTCTACTTTTATCATGAACTTACAAAAAAATTGCTACTTTTCCTTGCTTTTAGCTACACCAATTAAAATTTCTGGAGTTACAAGTAAGTACAATTTGTTTGCATTGTGTTAAAGTTTTGATACAATCTCTGTATCCTGAGGACGGCATCACCATTACTCTTTTTCTATCTAACAGATTTCAAAGTAGACAGATACATGAATGGGATATGATACCTAGCACTTGCATGTTTTTGTTGTTGTGTTTGCTGTCTTATGAGACTTCATTAATTGATCTGTTGATGAGGGGAATAAAAGTGGCCTTGGCCTGCTGCCATGAAGTGTATCAAAGTGTACTTCGTCATCAATACCTTTTGATTCAAGGTAGAACTCTGCCTGAGTATGAGCAAATTTGCAAATTCAAAATTCTCTTTGTTAATGTTTTATGAAGTATGGTCGTCTTTAATTCCTTAAAATTGTTTTCTAGCTGATTGCACCACCAGAAACCAAGCCCAGATTATTTGACTTTGTGACCTTTCATTTCTTTTCAGTTCGCTCCACTGGATGTTTCCGAGACACGCATCGCCGAGCAGTTCCACAGATGGATGGGCGAAACCCATTGGTGAAGGATTACTATCGAAGAAGAAAAGACGCCATTTTGAAATGTGCTCTGGTTGCAATGAGATTTGGTTACCGAGTTTTCGCTGTACAGCATCAGGGATGGTGTGCTACTGGTCCGAGAGCTCACGTAACCTACCGGAAGTATGGACGGTCTAATCGGTGTAGAAATGGCAAAGGGGGACCATGGGCTAATGACGTCTACATTGTGAATGGTATGTGATCGAAACTGATATCCTTAGCGTTCCCCGTGCATGCCCTTAAATAATATTTATTGGTATTCCATTATTTGTATTAGATACTGAATCTATATGGAAACTTTTTGACGTAGAAAGTGAATCCGCAAAGGATGAAAACACGGCCTCTTACCAAGCCATTCTTGACAGATACAAAAGTCACGTCACAAAGAAGGTTAAAAAGACTGTTGAAAACATTTTAGTAAAGTGTATTTAAAACTACATAAAGGGTGCCCCCTCCTGATTTCTCAAATTAAAAAAACTTCTATGTTGCAGGTTTCTGCCGCAGAAGAACAACGACCCGTTATTGCTGTTCTTTCCCGTTCATCTACAAAGGGAGACGTTATAACAGTTGTACCAGAAGAAGACACAATCGACCATGGTGTGCTCTGACACCCAACTACGACAGAGATAGGAAATGGGGCAACTGCGCTAGTACGTAAAATGTATTTGAATGATAACGAACAGAAAAATATTCAAAGCAAACGTTTCTTTTACTATAAACAGTAATCCATATTAAATATGTGAGAGTACACCTATTTCAATAAAGGTTGCTTTGCGAATTTTGCTTTGGTCTTTGAAAGCCATTATTTGGTGGTCACTCAAGCAAAGCATTGCATTGTATTCTGCGTTTCAATGACCAAATCTCAAAGCAACCCTTATTGAAATAGGTGTATATATCAGTAATAAAAGGTTAAGAGTTACAGAAGGAGAATTAGTAGCCACATAGAAGTTTCTTTAAAAAATACAAAGCATTTTACTTTATTTTTGTCTCCTGTAGCTCGCAGACCTGTTAGACCACCCCGTCCTGTGGTACGCCCATCACGAGGTTAGCACCGCAACTCTACGTACAAGTGACTTTTTAATCAATTAATTTGTGTTTTTGTGAGTAGAACATGTTGGTCATAAATCCTACTTGTCATCAAGGGTAGTTGTTATTGGGCTATAAGTTCCAGTTTCTGTCGTTCTTTCTTAAGTTTCTATCCTTACTTGAAGGTTAAGGTGCAGATGCAGGTGATTGATCTCCCTCTAACTTTTTCTCTTTCCCGATAAAATTTGTTATTATCATGATCACCTACAGTGGTAACAAATCATAGTATATCACTTGCTCGCCTTGTCTCTTAGGGTATCCTATTTTAGTTGATCAATTTGGTTTTTCTTGCTTTTATAGGAAGAGTGATAAGAATCAGTATTGGATTGAAAGGTACAAATAGTTTAGAACTAGTTTCAGCTCTGCTTAGTCATGGTCGTTACTTGAAAGTGTGGGAGGTTAGCATGGTCATTTTAGATTGTCAAATTAATATAATCGACCTTACTGACCACGTGATCTTCAGAGGTGCAATTTTGAGATATCCTCCTTTGAGAAAAGAAAATGTTGAGACACCTATCCCGATATTCTTTTTCTGGTTCAGTTTTGAGATGACTAGTTTCTCCCGTTTAATTATAAGATGTGTTTTTCCTCGCTAGCATACGGTATTGGTTGCTACAAAGACACTGGCCGCAGGGCTATAGCCCCATTGGAAGGCAGAAGTTTCCTCTTGACAGGCAGCTACCGCAGAAGGAGATACTCCGTTCAGAAATGTGCCCTTGCTGCATACAAACGAGGCTACAAAGTGTTTGCAGTGCAGCACGGGGGATGGTGCGCAGCATCACGATATGGTTATCGAACTTATGGAAGATATGGGAGATGTAACAGGTGTAAGAATGGAAAAGGAGGGCCTTGGGCAAACGACGTTTATGTTCTGAGAGGTTAGGTTTCGTAAAATATATATGTTGTTAAAAAGTTTCTATGTTACGAGTGTTTGTTTGGGCTATTGGCGTTGCTGAGAATAGGAAACAAAACAACCTTATGAAAGTCTACGTTCTCCTCTTCCATTTTCTGAGAACAAATTAAGTAACACCTTCAGATTGTACTCGTGATGTCTGCGTGAAGTCATCATCTTCACGATTTGTTTAGGTAAGTTGCTCACTACCACCGTTCATTGTCGCAACATGGTCACTGTTTATAAATATAAAGGTAACCAATCCGAACTGCTTGACTTTTGGAGTTCAGACTGGCTCTGTTTTAATGATACATAGCTCATTACTTTAATTTACTAGCTTACTGTTAGAAGACTGGTGAAATTGAGTACATGGCCAGTCATTGAAGATGCTTTTATATTTACTCTCAGGATCGTGTCGTGTACGATCAAGCACTGGCCATTGTTGCGCCTTTCCTTTCATCTACAAGGGTCGGCGTTATAACCGTTGTGCAAGGAGAAACCACAATCGACCATGGTGTGCTCTGACACCCAACTACGATTTAGACAAGAGATGGGGAAACTGCCCAGGACGAGGTAACGACTAACAGCACTGAAAATAGTGACAGATTAACTGGCTGCTTAAAATCCAAAGGATTTAGTCTCTGTTCCAGGTTTAATTTAGACCGCTCACCAGCTTTCCTTTGTGGATTCAGTCGTGAGCTGTAGACCAGTATATACACACGTCTCTCGGAGAAGTTACAGTTCACCGTGAGAGTGCCAATACTAGTGTTGTTGTTGTTGTTACAAATGTCTTTGCTGGTCTGACAATGCTGTACAACTTATAACAATTATTTCTTTATTTTTTTATCAGGCCGTCCAATTAAAATCACGACAACAATATCACGTAAGTTCCTTATGATACCACTTTATTACGATCCTTATGAATAAATTCCTTCATTGATGCAAACGTAGTGATCTTCAAACACTTAAACAACTTTCTCAGTTCAAAAGATTGGCTGCTTCAAGGACACATACCGAAGAGCTATTCCTCAACTAGATGGCAGAAGTCCGCTTTTGAGAGGAAACTACCGGCTTCGAAGAGATGCTATCACCAAGTGTGTTGCTGAGGCCTTGAAGCGAGGCTACCGCATGATTGGAATCCAGCATGGCGGTTGGTGTGCATCTGGACCTCGGGCCCAAAAAACGTATGCAAAGTATGGACGATCCAACCGATGCAGAAATGGCAAAGGAGGGCCGTGGGCTAATGACGTGTATCGTATTTCGGGTTAGTCAACAAAGAACCAATAGCGACGGCACTATTAACTTAAGTGTTTTTACGTAGTAAGTAAGAAAAATGTCTTTTGCGCAAGTTATTGCGTTGTTTCAGTTAATGGGAAAAAACCGGAAGTCTAAAGCATGTTTTTCAGTCTTACCCTTTTAAAAAGGTAGTTACACTTAAACTACTCACCTGATCAGGAGGTACGCCTGAAGTCATGCTTACTTTAAATCACATGATGTGTAGCTAGCTATCTTAGACAGATATTCAATTATAATCATTAATTTTGAACCAGATCTTTTGTCATGCGTTATTTCCCAGGAAATTGTAAGCAACGCACTACAACTGGATACTGCTGCTTTCCGTTCATTTATCGCAGGCGTCGCTATAACGGCTGCGCAAGAACTCGTCGCGGAAGAAGATGGTGCGCAATTGCTCCTAACTACAACAAAAACAAACTGTGGGGGTACTGCAGAGGAGGAAATCGCCGTAAGATCCTGTCTCTTATTTGTTTTCACACCCTTCTTGTCTTTGAACAATCTATTTCTGAATGTGCTACTGTTACAGCTTACAATTCGCATTGTGGGTCATGAAATATTTATCTTGTCGTTTCCTTTTAATCCTAATTGAATTAAAAAAGAAAAATCGCTGGTAACATTATAGAACCGGCGGTACTGGCGGTTTCATAATGGACGTTTAAACAGAATAATAGGGCATAACTTTGCGATTTTTATTCATATGAATCTGTTCTTCATTTTTAGCGAAACCAACCAGAGTGACACATGGAGTGTTAAGTGAGTAATTTATATTATTCGGGGCTACCTTGAGTGCAATCTCAAAGATTCTCAGTTTGTTTGTTTGTTTTAGCTTGCGACTAAAAATCTAACTTGCGTTCTTTAGGAACTATTTCTTTTTCGAAATTTAATCGATATTTTTAACTGGGCACTTTTCACTATGCCCTTGAGGGGAAAATAACAGAGTTCCCTAGAAGCCCAGAAACACAGCCAAAGATTTAATCGCTAATAATCTTTTCCAAACCTCAGTTAAGTCACTTGGATGCTACAGGGACACGCATCGTCGAGCTATCCCACAAATGGACGGACGAAACCCATTAGTGAAAGGATACTACAGACGACGAGCTGACGCTATCTTAAAATGTGCGCTGGTTGCTCTGAGATTTGGTTACCTAGTCTTCGCTGTACAGCATCAGGGATGGTGTGCTACTGGTCCGAGAGCTCAAGTGACCTACCGAAAGTATGGACGGTCTAATCGATGTAGAAATGGCAAAGGAGGACCCTGGGCTAACGATGTTTACAAAATAACCGGTAAGATTGTTTGAAAAAAGATGTTCACTGCTAGCGCAAACCACTTCTTTGCCGAAAACTTAGGTCTGATTTTGACACAATGTGACGTCGTTAGACACGGATGCGTTTTATGAGAACAAAAGTTGTAATTACAGTGACCGTTTGGACAAACTTCTGTCTTTGTTGCTGTTTGCATGTCCTCAATATCTGGGTTTGCGTCTTTGATCCGGGTTTCTAGCTTTTGCTCCAGATCTTATCTGCTGGAAAAATGTGTACATTAACAAGTGGCCTTCTAAGAATAGAGCTGAACTATTCTGCGCTTCTTATGTAATATTGCTTCAAATAAGCAATATATTGTATTTCTAACTCTCCAGGAACCTGCCGAAAGAGAACCACTTCTCGTTATTGCTGTTCGTTCCCGTTCATCTACAGAGGCAGACTTTATAACAGTTGTACTAGAAGAAGACACAATAGACCCTGGTGTGCTCTGACACCTAACTACGATAGAGATAAGAAATGGGGCAACTGCGCCAGTAAGTTATACTTTTTTCTGCAATAAACTGATTACTTTTGAAGCTGTAGACAGAAAGCATTTTAAAAAGGGTCTTTTTAAACATTTTATAGTTATGGAAATAAAATCAAAAAAGAACAAACACATGCCTGTTAGTCTTGAAATTGTAAGGCATGGTCTGCCATGAGCTATACGCATTTAAGTTATGACCAATTCTAGTTTGGGGTGTTTTAACAGTAGAATAATTTTCTGGTACAAAAGTACGATGTACAGTTATGAAGAAATATTCGCTTTTCCTTTCTGTTTTCTAGAACGTCGACGTCCTGTGAGACCAGTTCCACCTGCTATGCCCCACAAAGGAGGTATAATTTATTTTTTGCCGTCCTTATTTGTACGGTGATTTTCTTGCCCAAATGTGCAATCATACTAGCTAGTCGAGATTTCTGAATACTCTGTTACTCTGAGTTTATGCCTTATTTTTATTTTGCAGCGAGGGTCATAAGAGTTACCGCAAGCTTAAAGGGTGAGTTTAACGGGGTCATCCAAACCATAGTTATTTGCGTGAAATGGTTAGTTTCAGGAGCAGGAGGCCTTAATATTCTGTCATGACCTTCTAAAGAATTTGTGAATCAAGGAAAAATCGACACTTTCTTGGACCGAGGAAAAATAAAGAGTGCTTTGCAATGTCAATTACCTTGTATCGCATGCAAACAAGTGACTTGAGTTGTACATTAATGTTTTCCTTTTTTGTGAGGCGCGAAAATAAGGAATTCATCCCTGTGAATAAATGAATGAATGAATGAATGAATGAATGAATGAATGAACTTATTTAAATGTCCGAGTATTAGGCTTTCTCGCTAATTTTCTTTAGTTTAATTTACAAAAACAATACAATGGAAACCTCAATTTCAGTATTTTTTAGCGAAGTGAATTTTAATCCTTACAAAAATCCTCTAAAATTGCGTTGATCCACGACTGGGCCCTTAGTCCCTCAAGATGGCCCACGTGCAGGATAACATCCTGCACTTCTTTTCGTTTCAGCATACAACATCGGCTGCTATAAAGACACAAGCCGACGGGCCATACCATCTTTAGAAGGCAGAAGTCGGCTTTTAAGGGGAAGCTATCGCCGTAGGAAATACGCTATTCGTAAATGTGCCCTTGCTGCTCAGAAACGTGGTTTCAGGGTGTTTGCAGTACAGCATCAAGGATGGTGTGCATCATCTAGGAGAGCTCATTTGACGTATCGCAGATATGGAAAATCAAACAGATGTAGAAATGGAAAAGGAGGACCTTGGGCCAATGATGTTTATGTCCTGAGAGGTATAACATCATACGAGTTAAAAGACACACATTTGTCCTATGCTTGCAAGTTTGAAGTCTCAATGCAAATTTTCACTGTCTTTATGAGATTTCTGAAATTGCTACAAGTACTAAAAAGATGATTCGAGACCCCTTAGATAGAGCTTTGCTTTAAAAGATAACTACATCATAGGCATGCTTGCATTATCATTTTTGCTTCTCAGAAGTACATTCCCGCGCTGTGGCTCTTTGCCATGATATTAATTTAAATTTTCAGTAGCTTCAGCATAATGGTTTTAGGGTTAGGACTACCTCTGTAGGTGGTTCAACCTTACAAACACTGACCTAATATGAGCCATTTTCTGCATTTAACGAAACTTTTTCTTTCCAATATTCTAAATAAAAGAATCATTCTCAATTCATTCTTTAATTATGGTGTTTTTTGGCAGGGTCATGCAGCAAGCGTTCTACAAACGGTATCTGCTGCGTATTCCCTTTCATTTATAAAGGAAAACGATACAACCGCTGCACCCGTGTTAATTCCAGGCGCCCTTGGTGTGCAAATACTCCGAATTATAATGCAGATAAACTATATGGCTTCTGTGGTGGTCGCAAAGGTAAACAGGGAAATTATTGATAGGCAGAAGTAAGAACAGCGGCTTTCGTTTCAAAGACTTCTGAACACTGATGACTTTTTAAGGCAACAACTAATCGTTGAAGTCGCATTTATTACTTTCTCTCAAGTTGTTAACGGAACCTGCCAAAACCTATAAAAGTTTGCAATTGCTTCTTATATATTAAGGACTCTCTGCTGAGCAGCCTGCCGATATTCTGAAAAAACAAATGGGGAAAAAATTCATGCTTACGCAGTAAAATTACTTCTTCTTGTAGCTTGATTATATCCATATTTCTCAAGGTGAAAATATGTGACCGCTGAAATTGATGGCATTACTTGTTTCCTTGGCGTATAATTTTAAACAGCAAAACACCCTTAAGTAGAAGGCGTTAAAAAATGCGTTGTGCCATCCACCGAATAATTGAAAAGTGATTTCTAACGCGGGCTATTATTTGCAGTTTTGCGGAAGATCAGTTACTGACCCTTATTATCTGTTCCTGTCCGCAGTGCGACCCATTAAGATGACACCTTCTATAAGAAGTAAGTCTACTCTCCGAATCATCATTTAAACCAACTTATACTTCTCCCTCTTTTAAAGAGGACTCTTTAATTGCGTATATTTAAATTTCCTTCTAAAGTCAGATATTAAAAAAATGGCTAAAAATGAGCATTTTTGTAACATTATTGAAAGTTAATTTTCATCTCTTATAGTCCAGAGAATCGGATGTTTTAGAGATACATATCGTAGAGCCATTTCACAGCTAGATGGTCAAAGTGTGTTTTTGAGAGGTAACTACCAGAGACGACGTTATGCTATTCAGAAATGTGCTTATGCTAGCCTTAAACGAGGATACGCAGTTTTTGGAGTTCAAAATGGCGGCTGGTGTGCATCAGGATCCAGAGCTTACAGGACCTTTGCAAAGTATGGAAGATCCAATAGATGCAGAAATGGTAAGGGAGGACCATGGGCTAATGACGTCTACAGGATATCAGGTATACATTCCTTCCATTTTATTGACAAATTTGCCTTGATATTTGCATTCAAGTGCGCTTTACTGCTGCTTTTTCTAGCCTCGTTTTCAGAGATGTAATGAAATACGAGAAACATTAATACAAATTGATAAACTGTATAGAACTCAATTCAAAATTAGCTTTTTTTCGATCACCTGGACCGGATATTCAAAGCGCTTAAATATCTTGGCCACAAAATTCTTCAAATATATTTCCTGAACCAAAATACAGTTAGATAATGAACAGATAGTTGGTTCAACATTGTTTAAAGCGTTTGTGCTTGAACGACAGGGAAAAAAAATTAGAGAGGTTCTCACATAAGAAACCAAGCGCCTTTTGCAGTAGTTTTTTTGTCTTTAAGAAGTTTAAGAATCTTAAAATGTGAAAAAATGATTGGCTCTAACGTACGCAGCGCATTTTTTCCTTTGTCGACACTTGACCATGGACTCGACAATTAACACTGGTTGACGCAATTTTATTCATTGATTAAAACTGTTCGTTCTCTCTGTTATAGGCAAGTGTACACGTAAGACGACTCAAGGATACTGCTGCGTATTTCCTTTCATGTACCGCGGTCGCGGATATAATAGATGTGCCAAAAATCGCCGCGGACAGGCGTGGTGCTATATTACTCCGGACAAAAAACATTGGGGATACTGCAGAGGGGGACAAAAACGTAAGGATGCACCTATATTACAATCACTACAATTTCTAATTATTTACTCGTTCTTTGTTCTCGTGATTTTACACTGCATTTGTAGTCAACCTTGCAGTGAGTAAAAAGAAATTTGGCCCACAGGAAAAAGCGTGGCAATTGCAGTGAGTGCCGGTTGTTTACTTGAGGGAAGTGGCTATGCCAGCTAACATAGCTTTAGTCAATTACCCTAACGCATAAAATCATTAACACTGAAAGAGATACAGAGCAAAACAATAAGAAGGATAATAACGGGACAAAAACAAACGTGCAGTTAGCCATACACCGCAGCCTTCTGGCTATCATGGTAACTAAGATCTTTCCAACAAGAATTAATCTCTTAGAAAACTAATTTTTCTGAACAATTTCCGCCGCTCCGCACTGAAAACAACTATTAATATAAAAAATTTCAAATAAGTTTTCTTTGCTCACTTTTAAAATTCTGAAATGTTCCTTTTAAACCTGCTTATTTATCACCTATTTCCCCTTTACAGGTCTACCGATACGAATCACGCCATATGTTAAAGGTAAGCTTTTTGTTTCGAGTATCAGTTAAAGAGTAGTTTGTTGAGTCTGCAGGAACCTTACTTACAAAAAGCAGTACTTATTATTCTTGAGTAGTCCCCTCTTTCCCCGACAGGATTGGATAATACTGCTCTCCCTACTTAGATGCTTTTCACAACAAGCAAAACAATTCTTCGACCAAAATTGGCTATGTAAACTATCAACCGTGTCGTTTGTTTGCTATAAACGTCCGTAAGCTCACAGTTCAACAGAAATCCAATTTTGGTAAGAACCTGCTACACATCCAGTAACTCAGGATACTGTACGTCACTGATTTAGTTTGTTTTCTGGATCATAATTTAAATGGACACAATTGTTTCTTTACATTTAGCCAATTCACTTGGATGCTACAGGGACACGGCTCGCCGAGCTATCCCACAAATGGATGGACGCAACTCATTAGTGAAAGGATACTACAGACGACGAGCTGACGCCATCTTAAAATGTGCGCTAGTTGCTCTGAGATTTGGTTACCGAGTCTTCGCTTTACAGCATCAGGGATGGTGTGCTACTGGTCCAAGAGTCCACGTGACCTACAAGAAGTATGGACGGTCTAATCGATGTAGAAATGGCAAAGGAGGACCCTGGGCTAACGATGTTTACAAAATAGCAGGTGAGTTCAAGGACATTGTGGTTGCTAGCTTTGGAAGTTTTAGAAGAGTTACTCAGTTCTTATCATCGATCACATATGGCCAGTATTTAGTGTCGTCTGTCAGGAAAAGTTCTCAATACTTACGTCCAGTTTCAATGATGTTCAAAGGATGGTTTTTAAAAAGGTCGCTACTTTAAAGGTCGCGAGTTGGACCTAATGGTTTCCCAACTATTGAATTTTAATAGTATTCTTTTCAAAATATGTTTTTGAATTTCTTTTTATTTAGGCATATGCCGAAGACGGACAACAACACGTTATTGCTGTGCGTTCCCGTTCGTCTACAAGGGTCGTCGTTATAATAGTTGTACCAGAAGAAGACACAGTCGGCCATGGTGCGCACTGACACCCAACTACGATAGAGACAAGAAATGGGGCAACTGTGCTAGACGTAAGAATTTTAACAAATGTAGTAACTTCGTTCTGTAAAGGATTTTAAAATAATTATTTCTCTCTTAGGACGGAAGCCTGTTCGACCAAACCCACCAATTGTCCGCCCTCCAAGAGGTTAGTTTTGAGCTGTTTGCGGCTACTTTGAGTATATACAATGTTTTATTTGTGTGTTTTTTCTTGGCAATTAAAGTTATGTTGTATTTTTTATCTTACAGCTCGTGTCATAAAGGTGACAACAGGATTGCTAGGTAAGTACTCTTGAGCTTGTTGGAATTGTAAACTACTAACAGGGTTGTACTTCAAGTCGGAATGCCATGAATGGGTTGAACTTATAATAGATTACTATATATGATAGACACAAAACATCCTTCATGTCCCATCACATTATAGAGCATATCTGACCACCCTGAATTGTCCCTGCTCTGGGGCCTCTTGTACTCCTTTGCGAGAATGGAGCATATCAATTATAACACGGCGTTGGGCGTGCAGGTAACGTAATTTTTTTTTTCTTGCAGCATATAGCATTGGTTGCTATAAAGATACAAGTAGACGAGCCATATCCCCTCTTGAGGGTAGAAGTCGCCTTCTGAAAGGATATTACCGCCGAAGAAGAGACGCGATCAAAAAATGTGCTCTAGCCGCAGAAAAGCGAGGCTACAAAGTGTTTGCGATGCAACATCAGGGGTGGTGTGCATCATCTAGGAGAGCTCATTTGACGTATCGTAGATATGGAAAATCAAACAGATGTAGAAATGGAAAAGGAGGACCTTGGGCCAATACTGTTTATGTATTGAGAGGTACTTTAATATGTTTTGTTTTACGAACAACAGTAAGAGATAAAACACCTTACTGAAGTAAACTCCTCGACCACTACTTTTTTGAACGTCTTAGACAAAACGGCTTTGGGCCGTTTTTTTTTGCGCATTTAAGCACCTGGATTCTGGAATGCATGAGATGTGCGGAAACCATATATAAAATGGGTTTGCGAACTTAGCAGACTTTGAGCAAAAGCGGAATATCTACTGAGCAACAGATGGGTGTTCATCATGGCTAATTGCGTCTGTTATTATAAAGCTTTTTTGTCAAGGTAAGTTTTATACGCTGGTATATTAAGCTTTATTGGCTTTTTCTGTTTTCAGGTTCTTGCCGCACTCGAACCTCTCGCCGTAACTGTTGTGCGTTTCCGTTCACCTACCGCGGCAAACGATACAACAGCTGTACCAGAGTTCGATCCAAGCGGCCATGGTGTTCACTCACTTCAAGTTACGATAAAGACAAACTGTATGGTTACTGTGGCGGACGAAAAGGTGAGTGAGAGAGATAAGTACATGACTCAGTTAAGGCAATTCAATTCACATGTCCTAAAAGTGATTTTTTTTTCTTCCCTGCAGCGCCTATCATACGTGTGGTACCTTCAATAACAGGTGAGTTCTATCAACAAGCAATTTTTAAATAGGACATTACATTTTTAAATTGGACTTCTTTACTTATAGCTTTTAAGCTATAATAAGGAAGTCGAAAATCCATCAATAATTTCAATGAAGAATAACGATTATTTACTTGAATTATTAAAAACCGCTGTTGGTTGGAGATTGTCCAAGTCGAGTCTTACGAGATTAATTCATAATTTCTGATCTATTAGGATCCTATGGCATAAACTATCAAGAATCAATGCTTTATTTCATTTAACTTTCTTCGCGTTTTTAAATTTTAACTGCATTTTGGTTGCTTTGTAGTCCAAAGAATTGGCTGCTTTAAAGACACATTTCGCAGAGCTATTCCTCAACTGGATGGGAAAAGTCGACTTCTAAGGGGAAACTACCAACGACGAACATATGCAATTCAAAAATGCGTTCTCGAAACTGTAAAACGAGGCTTTTCAGTGATTGGTGTTCAGAATGGAGGTTGGTGCGCATCAGGACCGCGGGCTCACAGAACATTTGGAAAGTATGGGCGTTCAAACAGATGTAGAAGTGGAAAGGGAGGACCTTGGGCTAATGACGTCTACAGAATTTCGGGTGAGAGGAAGACATCCTATTTTTGCAACTTTTGTTGAAAAAATCTTCATTAAAGTAAATTCTTTAACGTGTCATTTAAAAAGAAAATATTTTTAAAGTCCCTATTTCTGTTCCCTGGACATAAGTGGTTGTAATTTAAAGCCTTGACCAGGACATTTCATCTTATACAATATTTCATGCACCAGGTAAGGAGAAGAGAATTGAAAACAGCCCAACATAATGACAGCTCGTTCTATTTGCTACTCTTGCTTGCTTATTTATACTCCTTACAACTTGATTGCTGTTTATGTAAGCTAGCGTTTTAAAGCCTCCATTGATTTACTTCTACCATGAAATCGTCTGTTTAAACTTCATTCCTCCTAATGGCTTAACCTTAACTGTGCATGACACAATAAACTCTAGTTTTTTAACGCGCACTCTTAAATCTAATGTAGGAACCTGCAGACATCGCACCATCTCAGGCGAATGTTGTGTGCCATTCATCTATCGCAGACGTAGATACAATGGTTGCGCGAGGCATCGAAGCGGAAGGAAGTGGTGTTATGTCACCCCTGATTATCGAAGGAACAGACTCTGGGGGTGGTGCAGGGGAGGAACGCGATGTAAGGCCTTTCTTTCTTCCATCGTATTTTTGTTTTTTGTTTTTATTTTTTGTTTTCTAAAGGTTTTATTATGATAAAGTATAGCACTGAGATTATTATGAGCAAAGTATTTGGTATGTTTATGTTAGGACTCTGGTTATTTACTTGCAAGAAGAACTCTTTGTCGTATTTCATTTACACAACTTCCTTTAGCGAAGAAAACTCTTAATTTATATGACAACCTTATAAAGCAATATTTGATGTACTTGCAAAAACTAAAAGAAGTGATAAACAGTAAAGGAGATTGACCTGTTTGAATCTGATTCCGTACAGAAAGTGTAAGGACAACTTCATACTTCTGTTGAAAGCTTTCCTTAGCCTGATAGGCATTGTCATTTGACTGTATCTTAACGTACTTTTACAGCTCCACCAATCAAGGTTACCACTGGAGTTAGAAGTAAGTACACGTCTAGTCTGCTGTCCTTGACCTGTTGAGTCTAAAAAAGCTTTAATTGAGGGAAGATTTTTTAAGTACATAAGTTTAAGTCAAGGGCTCTTTATTGATACTTATGAGTTTTCCTAAACAAGTAAGTTTAAATTTGATTTTCTTTTACAGTCAAGCGGATTGGATGCTTCAAAGACACATCTCGCAGGGCCATTCCAGGTGTAGACGGCCGTGGTCCTCTACTTACAGGTTACTACCGAAGACGACGCGAAGCCATCAAGAAGTGTGCGTTGTATGCTGTAATGTACGGCTTTAGGGCCTTTGCTGTACAGCATCAAGGATGGTGTGCTACTGGTCCTAAGGCTCACGTAACCTACCGGAAGTACGGAAAGTCTAATCGATGTCGAAACGGCAAAGGTGGGCCATGGGCTAATGATGTCTACATGATTTCTGGTAAGTAAGTCGTTTATTATTTTCAGGAACATTCAATTTTTTATTGTTATTTTCGTCAGGTAGAAATGTAGAATAAAGAGGGGACGGAGCTGATAATTTCGACTTAAAGGTGAGTGGGACAAACAAGTATCTGTACTCTCTGGGCTCGGCTAAATGTCGAGAACACCCGCCAAAATAAAATAATCCTGAGGTGAGTTATAAAATTTCCTCAATAACGGCAAGATGTAATTTGCGCCGTTCACCACAGCCTTGTTGGCTGATTATGGACCACAAGACAGACCTGTATATTGTGGATCTGATTCATCCCTTTTTACAGGCACTTGCCGAAAGCGGACGGCAAAACGATATTGTTGTTCATTCCCGTTCATCTACAAGGGTCGACGGTACAACAAATGTACGAGAAGGAGACATAACCGACCATGGTGTGCTTTAACGTCGAATTACGATCGAGACAGGAAATGGGACAATTGCGCAGGTACTAGAACTTTCTATTAAAATCATTTTTGTCCATATATTCTATGAAAGATAAGGCCGTAAACAACTACTTCTGACACATTACACGCTACTGACGATTTAAAAGCAATCTGACCCTGGTGACAGGATAAATTTAAGGTTTAAAGAATGCATGGCTGTCTGAAGAACTCCTGCCAAACAAACAAAAACTTTTTATTTTTAGATTTTACTTTTAGTTTGCTTGTTAATGAGAGAAAATACTAACATTTATTATGTCCCGTTGCAGGCCGTCGACCTGTCAAGCCTGTTAAACCAGTGGTGCATCCGAAAGGTTAGGCTTTTTAAAATAACGATTAAAAATTTTGGCCGGGCAGTTGCAGATATTTGACTAATTGACTCTAAACTCGAAAATAAGCAACAGTTCTACCCGCAAAAATATGAAGCACCATATTTACGTCTTTGAAAATAAAGCGTTTCTCTACATAAAAATTTGCTCACATGTAGCCTTAGATGTGGTCTCAAGGTGATGGTGTTAATTTTTTTTTCTCTTCTATTTCCCCCCTTCATTTCCACGATCTGACTTATTGACCTCCAGATGTAAAAAAAATTATTTAACAAGATGTTTATCGTATTATTTCATTAAGTGGCAATCATTTGGGAAGAGTTTAAACAGCGGCATGTTGAATTATAATGTAATTATTTTGAATTGTGTTATAAAGCAAATTATAAAATAACTAAGATAGTACGCGCGTTCAGATTGGTTAAAAACCTATGGCTTATTGTGCCGGTAAACTCGGGAAACTTCAAGTTATTTTATAAAAGCAATAGACCACACTTTCTTTGGCTTTACCGGCTTCATGCATAACCCACTAGAAATCGGCTCGTGATTTACAAGCTTTTCTCGTGTTCTCCCAACATCCCAAGTGGGTTATCACGGCGTAAACCCATGGAAAGTGTGGTCTATTGCTTAATGAAACAGCTCGGGTAAACAATAACAGAATATACTTTCCCATAACATATCGCCGCCTAGAGATATCATCATATTTCAAGTAAATGCACACGATTTTCCTCTACATATCGCGCTCCGATGTTTATTGATATTGCCAGAAAGAACCTTTGATATACACAATGCGGAAAGGCGAAACAAAGCAAGTTGGATTCAGTCTAAAACTTTTCCCACAGTACTTAGCTATTACGCTGAACAAAATTCAGCCCCCTGAGAATATCACAGAACAATTAAAGGATAACGTTGAACTTACCCCTGATAAAGAAATTATTGTCCCTTAGACAATAAAAACTTTATGCTATCATAGGTATTTTTTGTTCGGGGTGAATCATATTGAACATTCCAGGAACTCTCTAGGCGATCTAACTAGTTCCCCTGGTTTTGGAAGGACTCGAAATAACCGATCTTTACTTTTCTTTACTCATTCCCCCCCCCCCCCCCCCCCCCCCCCCCTTCCCCCTTCATTTACCTTTCCTTTGTTTATGCGGTGTTTTTTCCCCCCCCTCTCTAGTTAGGGATGTGTGTGTTTTTTTTTTTTTTGTTATTTATTAGTAACGGTATTTATAGAAACAATTGTTTGGTCACACAAACAACATATAAAAAACTTTTTGTTCCATATGTATTTTTTGTTCGTGGGGAATTATATTTGACATTGCCGGAAACCCTCTGTGGTTGTACTCAGTTTCCCCGTTTTTTGCAAGGCCCCCAACACCCCCCTCTTTTTTTTTTTTTCCCCTTCCCCCCCCCCCCCCCCTCCAACCTGGTCTTAGCCATATATATACCTTTGATTAGTATGTGCGGATTTTTGCCCTCACCTTAGATAGGTAGGGATTCGTGTCATTGGTCTGTAATTGATATTGAATCGAAACGATTTTTAAAGCAGCTATGTGGCCAGCCATACAGCCAAAGTTTATCTAAAGCGAAGTTTGAGTTTCTTGATTTATTTGCTGAACACCATTCCCAACAAAGAGAGCAAGCCCCAAACAAAAGTGTTTCTTGTTAGGGTATATTTTTTGAAGAGGGGTAGGACAAAAAGGGCTATTCAACTTAAAATCGTTATCCTTTAATTCGGGTCTCTTTGTTCCTTTCAGGACGAACTGTAAGAATCACAATTGGAGTAGTAGGTAAGTCTAAGATGGCTCGGCCCATCTTGCCTTCTCAGGATTGACTGCTTTCTTTCCGCGAAAAAACAGTTTCTTTGGCCACTTAATAATCCATTATCGATCAACTTTTTTAGGTCAAGATAGTTGCATTTCGGTCTCGTCCTTTCTTTGCATTCACGCTTCATCAATAGCACATGTATTCAGCCAACTTGTGTCCTTATAAGGAGTAATGCAGAGACTTTTTTGCATTTTTTGTATTTATTAATCTAACCCCTTGTAAAGTCATCATAGCACTGTAAACACCTTGGGAGACTTGCTTACGGTTTAGGTTCCCTAATCTAACTTTAAAGAAATAGCGTTAACATTCTGTAAGCCACAAAATCCCCCTTAAATTCACTTTCTATCTTATAGCTCTCTATAGTCAAAACTGATCGACTTTCATTCTAAATTTTGCTCTTTCTTTTGCTTTAAATTTAGTAAATTTTAATTGTTTAGTTTTAATCAGAGCTTAAAAATCTAGGCTTGAGCTCTAAATCCCTTACTTGTAATGCTTTTCTTTCTTAAATAGCGAAGGGCATTGGGTGCTATAGAGACACCAGTCGGCGGGCCATCTCAACTTTGGAGGGTAAAAGTCGCCTTCTTATAGGAAATTACCGCAGGAGACTATACGCTATTCAAAAGTGTGCTTCTGCTGCTTTAAAACGAGGGTTTAGAATCTTCGCGCTACAGCATGGAGGGTGGTGTGCTTCATCAAAGAGAGCGCATCTGACTTATGGTAGATACGGAAGATCCAACAGGTGCAGGAATGGTAAAGGAGGACCTTGGGCGAACAATGTGTATGTCCTCAGAGGTAAATATTACGCACGTTAAAAACTTTTTTTTTCTGCAAAGTAATATTTTGAGAAGGAAGTATTTCCGTTACAGATATTTCACTAACATAGCTTTTCTCTGTTCTCTACAATGCGTTAATCTTGGCTGCGTTGTCTTTTCTCCAACCATTTCTTAGAAAGTAACAAGTCGAATCTTCGGTGTCCATCTAGCTTTTATATTTGAGTTAGGGCATCGACAGTATTGGCGGTATTTAGATATTGACCATTAGAGATCAAAAATAACATTTTAATCAGATAAATCAACCCTTCATGAACTTATTTGGGCCCACGTTTGTCTTGTTTTAGGTTCATGTCGAGCACGTTCCTCAACTGGTAACTGCTGCATGTTCCCCTTTGTTTACCGAGGACGAAGATACAACCGCTGTATCAGAGTTAAGTCCAAACGACCGTGGTGCTCTCTTACACCAAGTTACGATAGAGATAAGATATATGGATACTGCGGAGGACAAAAACGTGAGATTTAGATCATTGTTCTTAAAATGCATATCACTGAGAAAACAGGGAACAAAAAAGGAAATGGGCCATTCGCTATTACAAATTACATAATACCATGTAGCCGTCTTTGACATTGTGTAATTTTTCACTACACTTTCTTCATTACAAACCAAGAGGTAGTCCAACCTCACCACAAACAATGGAACAAACTTACGTTAAGTTTAATGTTGTGGTAGACAGCCTCCCTTGATAAGGCCCTCGGGATCAGATGCCATTACAGATTGTCTCGCTGTTTAGTTATCGGTGAATAACAATAACAACAACGACAATCATAAAATCATCTTGATCGAGGATATAGCATCTTTATGGAAGATATACAGGGTCGACGTAAGGTCTGATTTTAGAGTTTATCACAACAGCATTAACCTTGAAATATTTATTTTTTGTTTTTTAGCTGTACGACCTATCAAAATAACGACGTCTATAACACGTGAGTAATATGCTCCTGGGTTGAAGACACCAATCTGGATATGATTTAGTTTAGTTTTATGTCGACAGTGAATGGAAAATTAAACCTTGTACGTCTTTTACCTGTAACCCTCACTAATACAACCTCTTTTAAAGTAGCCAAAACATTTAAAGATCTAATGTCCTTGACCTAAGGTTTTCACCTCCAAATGTCTTCTCTCTGTCATGGGTTAGTTCACAGAATTGGTTGCTTTAAAGACACGTCGCGCAGAGCCATTCCCATACTTGAAGGCAAAAGTCCTCTTTTGAGAGGAAACTATCAGAGAAGAAGACATGCCATAAGAAAGTGTGCCTTGGTAGCCATTAGGCGGGGTTACTCAGTGCTTGGAGTCCAGCATAGTGGCCAGTGTGCGTCAGGACCTTTGGCTCACAGAACCTTTGGGAGGTACGGACGATCCAATAGATGCAGAAATGGGAAGGGAGGACCTTGGGCTAATGACGTCTATAGGATATCAGGTAAACACTTTTTATAATCTGCTCTCTCCCGTCATGCTCTAGCACAGGCTTACAGTTGTCAAATTTTGCTTTATTTTACACTCAAAATACACGAACATTTATTGAACTTAAGGTAATTCCCTTGTTTTGCACTGCGCACCCTCTACTGCGCATAACAATGCTACATCCAAGATGGCGGCGGTTCTTCCCACTAGCGCGAAAAGAACGAACAAGGGCCGCTTTTGCAGAGCTAAAGCT